AGAGGATCGAGGGTCAATTCATCTCACAAGACCCTCGGAGCATGTGGAGGGGCATTAAGTGCATAACAGATTATAAAGGAAGGAGTGAACAATGCCCCAAAGACCCATCTCTGCCTGATGCCCTCAACAAGTTCTATGCACGCTTTGAAGACCCGAACAGACCACCCAGCACCAGACTCACCTCACCACCGGATGAAGAGCATCTCAGCGTGACCTCAGCAGAAGTAAGGAGTACCTTCAGGAGGATTAATCCGCACAAAGCAACTGGCCCAGACAACATCCCCGGAAAAGTGTTGAAGGAATGTGCTGATCAGCTCTGTGAGGTGCTGGCAGACATCTTTAACACCTCACTTACCCTGGAGACAGTTCCCACCTGCCTGAAGACTGCCACCATCATCCCAGTCCCAAAAAGCTCTACAGTGACTGGTCTGAATGACTATCGGCCAGTGGCCCTCACCCCGATAGTCGCTAAATGCTTCGAAAAACTGGTCATGACTCACATCAAAACAACCATCAACATCAACGAGGACCCTCATCAGTACGCATACCGTGAGAACCGATCAACAGAGGATGCAATCTCCTCTGTGGTCCACACTGCACTCAACCACCTGGAGCAGAAAAACTCTTACGTCCGTATGCTCTTTGTGGACTTCACATCCGCCTTCAACACCATGATCCCCCAAACCCTGATGGACAAACTATCCACACTAGGACTAAGCCCCTCCATCTGCAACTGGGTACTAGACTTTTTAACAAACAGACCACAGTTAGTGAGGATCCACAACCTCTCCTCCTCCACCATAACCCTCAGCACTGGCTCTCCTCAGGGATGTGTGTTGAGCCCCCTCCTGTTTACTCTGCTCACGTATGATTGTGCAGCTACCCATCCAGGCTGTCACATTGTGAAGTTTGAAGATGATGCAGCAGTGGTGGGATGCATCACAAACAATGATGAGTCTGGCTACAGGCAAGAGGTGGAACACCTGGAGAGCTGGTGCAAAGAGAATAACCTTCACATCAATGTGAAGAAGACAAAGGAGATGATTGTGGACTTCAGAAGGAACAAAAACATCTACACCCCCCTGAACATAAGAGGATCTGCGGTGGAAGTGGTCTCCAGCTACAAGTACTTGGGTGTACACATGAATGACAACCTCAGCTGGAGCAACAACACCACCAGCCTGATCAAGAAAGCTCATCAGAAACTCTACTTCCTCAGACGGCTGAGGCGAGCTGGTCTGGGAAGCTCAGTCCTCACCTCCTTCTACAGGTGTGCAGTGGAGAGCATCCTATGCTTGAGCATCAACATGTGGCATGGAGGCTGCACAGCTGCAGAAAGAAAAACTTTGCAGAGAGTGGTGAAGGCTGCACAGAAGACTGTTGGAGTCAGCCTCCCCACCATCACAGACATCTACACCTCCAGATGCAGGAAGAGGGACACCTGCATCATGAAGGACCCCACTCACCCAGCACACACACTTTTTGCCCCACTCCCCTCAGGAGGGAGGTTAAGGAGCATTAAGTGTAGAACCACTAGACTGAGGAACAGCTTCTACCCTGAGGCTGTTAGACTCATGAATCTCTAACTAGAATAATCACTGTGAAAAACCATATCATGTTGCTGCTGATCTGTTTCATGTTGCTGCTGATCTGTTTCGATGTTGGTGTGTTCATGCGTGCACATCTGCTCACGGACTCATGTTCATGTTTGTGCTGATGTTAAATGTTTTATGTTATGAGTGCTTAGTGTATATTTAGTTGATGTTTTTCTTAGTTCATATCTTAGATGTTATTACTGTTTTTCTTATACATTTTATTGTTGGATGTAACTGGGACC